GCCTCAATCATTTTTTTTTTGCTTTTTTTTTTTTTATATAAAAGTATGACATATTTGACTTTTCATTTTTTTTTTTAAATTAAGGTATTACATTTAATTTGTATAACTTTCTACGTGAAAAATGTTGAAATAAAAGTATTTTTTAGTGTTCGCCTGGCTTTATTTTACATGAAATTTGTCAATTAAATGGATAAAATTTATTGTGTTGGGGATAGAATTTGTTTCTATTGCAAAAAAAAAAAGGAAAAAAATATATCCAAAAATCATCTATATTTTGGCATTCATTTGGTTTTGTTTTATATGAAAATTGTCAATTTAAGAGATATCCTCTTTTATAATTGTTTCTAGAATTTATTTTCATTGTCAAAAAAAAAATAATAAAACTGGAATTCACTTTCTCACCATATAGGTGGGAAAACCAATTCCTTCAAATGCTGGAAAAGACGCACGTGAGAGGAATGCCTAGAAAGTGAATTCCATGGAATTATTTTACTATCAAACACCTATAATTTGTGGAAGATGGAAATGAAGTTCCATTTTCCATGGAACTTATCTCTATCAAACAGAGCCTAACATCTAAATCAATTGAAGGAAGTGAAGTGCAATGCAATAGAGCCTTTGAGTCCCTCAAAATCACTGTAAAGTGCCATAAAAAATTGAAGTAATCGCTGCCCCTCTCCAAAAGTAATGTATTCCTTACATGCTTTCAGTCCTGGTGATTCTATAAGAACTAGCTCATCCTAAATTGAATTCATAGCAATGTAGAACCCGAAAATACTCATATTCTTCTATCGTAAAGCCCGTATATCAATCTCCGGCTCATATCAATTTGCTAAGTTAGATTTAGTTTATTGCTTTCGAAAGTGATCCCAAAACTTCTTTTTGCTGTTTCAAACTTCACCAACTGTGTACTAATGGATTGCTCAACAGAATTATGAATCCAGGTAAGTATTTTCGTATTGTTTGACTCCCATGTATCTAAATTTTTCACATAATTATCAACAGTGTTCTTATGTTTCACAATGATTCCACTAACATAACCCCACAATCTTTTTCCCTTTAGGAAATTCCTCATCACAATACTCCAGTAAGAATTATGTTTACCATTTAATCTAGTGCTAATGTGTTGAAGTGAATTATCCCTTTTTAGTCTCCATAATAGAATCAGCAATATAATCAACTACGAATCAAGGAAATCACCAAATTCTAAAAAAAATCAACAATGACCAAAGCACTATCTATAACTACCATCAGAATATACTACAAAATATACGTACAATCAAACTAATACCAACAAATGATCAAAAACTCACCAAGGAAGAAGCTACCTTTTAGAGTCACCTCGAAATTCCCATCTACGCACCTTCACGAGCCGCAAACACTCTCTGCGCGTAACACCACGCACTGCCATCCACCGTCATACACCTAGTCTTGAAGGTTTTCCTCGATCTACAGAGTACTGATATGGTCTTACTTTCCTCAAACAATATCTAATTTGACCGAAAAACAAGAAAATAGGTTCAGTCATAGACATTTTTCTTGACAGAACTTTGTGCTGAGACTTACTGCAGTTTTCACCAATTTTTCTCTACAGATTTCACTTCGCTATAAGCTCTGTAACCATGTAAACAATATAAACTAATTTGATGAATCAACCAAAGGAGGAGGAGGAGGAGGAGGAGGAGCAAGAGGAGGAGCAGGAGCAGGAGCAGAAGAAGAAGGAGGAGGAGGAGAAGGAGGAGAAGAAGAAGAAGGAGGAGAAGAAGAAGAAGAAGAAGGAGAAGAGTAGAAGGAGGAGAAGAAGAAGCAGGAGAAGAAGGAGGAGAAGGAGAAGGAGAAGAAGAAGCAGAAGAAGAAGAAGAAGAAGGAGAAGGAGAAGGAGAAGGAGAAGGAGAAGGAGAAGAAGGAGAAGGAGAAGGAGAAGAAGAAGAAGAAGAAGAAGAAGGAGAAGAAGGAGAAGCAGAAGGAGCAGAAGGAGAAGGAGGAGGAGGAGGAGGGGGAGGAGATGCAGAAGGAGAAGGAGAAGGAGAAGAAGGAGGAGGAGAAGGAGAAGGAGAAGGAGGAGGAGAAGAAGAAGGAGAAGGAGGAGGAGAAGAAGAAGAAGGAGAAGGAGCTTGATTTGAACAAGATCCACATTGCCTGAAGTTTATTGAAAAGATTTATGCTATTACAATCAACAATACATTTTGGTATCTACTGATAATATTTATTGAGATGGTCTGTGTTCCAAGGGTGTAGGAGAGGTCTTGCTTACATATCTTCTAAATCATAAGCTCCTTTTCGTATAATTTTGGCCACCTTGTAGGGACTTTCCTAATTAGGACATAGTAACCTGGAGTTAAGCTCTTTGGTAACGAGGACAACCTTTCTTAACCCTAGGATTGACCTAAAATTCATAGTATTCAGCACTCCATTGCGACTACATTACTGTTCTGAGTTTGATTTCATTTCTCTTTTCTTTAAGTAGATCTAATATAGCAAATAATGCTTCCTCATTGCTTTCCTCGTTATATGTTTTGGTCTAAAATGAAGGGAGCAGAATCACTACTTCTATTCTAAAAGCCAATGAAAAAGGCATATATCCAATGCTACTTTGAAGCGTAGTACTATAGGACTATAACACAGTGGGGAGCTCATCTGTCTAAGTTTTCTTAAAACTATAAAAGTATCGCTATCAAGGTGTGTTTCATTATTTTATTAATCGCCTCCAATTGAACACTAGCTTGAGGATGATTTGAGGTGAATAAGAGTTTCATTTTGTTCAATACTTCACAAAAAGTCTTCAGACGGGTATCGTTAAACTATTTCTCATTGAAAATTACAATCAAGTTAGGTATTCCGAATATGGAAATGACGGGTTTTCAAATAAAATCCGTCATTTTTTGTTCAATTATTTTAGCAAGAGGTTCAACTTTTGTTCACTTGACGAACTAATCCACATCTATAATAACAAATTTAGTTCCATCTTTTTCTATGGGCATTGGTCCAATTCGATCTACCCCCTGTTTAGAGAATGGTCAAGGGCTCACAATCGAACTAAGTTTTTCTGAGAGCTCTAATTATAAGGTAAGGCATTATCATTTTTTGCATTTACTCACGAAACCTAGGCGTCTCATTTTATAGTCAGCCACCTTTGACTTACAATTCTGTGAGCCGAGGATTGTTACTCGAAATGAATGCCATAGACTCCTTTATATACCTTATCGCACAGAGAAAAGCACAACCTCGTCTTTATCCTACAGATGCAGGAGAATTTTGACCTCCTCTTCTTTTATACAACTCATCAACAAGGTTGCATACCCTCTTTTATAGAGGACGTCATCTAATAATGTGCACTAGTTGACCTTAAATGTAATTTTCGAGCTTTGATAAGGTACATAAGGTTTGCTACTATCTTGAGGAATGAGATAATTTCATCCAACTGGGTCGGCTTAGGATCTATAGCCATAGATACTACTTATTTCCTTTCAATAAAAGAGTGTCAAACTCCTTCAATTGTGATACTATCAAAGTCTTTTATTTTATCACTAGTGAAAAGTCTGGCCAGTGCAGTGCGGCTTCTATGGGTTCTTAGAATTTGTTTGATCTCAACGATTTCGAAATTCTCTAATTCTTTCTTAACGGCTCAAAGGTAGCTAGTCATCCGCTCTTCTTTAGCTTATTAGGTTTCATTGATTTAATTGACGATGAGCTGTGAGTCGCTATGGGCTATTATCCTAGAAACCTTCAGTTCTTTGGCCGCCAACTATCAAGGCTTTATATTCAGCTTTATTGTTAAATGTCCCAAAAGTCGGATATGAGGGCTTGATATGATGATAGTCTAGATAGATCAACACTACTCTTACACCAACCGAGCTTTAGTAGAGGACCTGTTGATGAAAAGCTCCCATGTGACGTCTTCTCATTGGCCTGTCTATAGGTCCATGTTGAACTCGGCTGTAAAGTAATCCAATGATTGTTTCTTTATAGACGTTTGAGGTTTGTAGGATATATTAAATTGTCCTAGCTCGACTGCTCATTTAACCATCCAACTTGAGGTGTCAAGCTTTTGTAGAACTTGCTCAGTGGGTAATTTTTCATGATTTCTATTGGGTGTTCTAGGAAGTATGGTTTTAAATTCTTTGTAACATGACTGTAGCTAGGGGCGGAGCAAGGATTTTAGCCTAGTGCGGGCAACATTTTTCGACGCCGAAAGTCGAGATTTTGGTCATGGATTTAATGATGATAAAAAAAAATAAAACAATATTACAACAATACTAAAATAACATATTTTATATATTAAACTTGTTCCTTGCAAGCTTTCGTATTTGATATCGTTGTACAATAACTTCATTATCGAGTTTCAAAAAATATCTTTCTCTACATAAATAATTGTGCTATCATTCACCCACTGCTCACCCATCCTATTGTGCAATCTATCCTTCACGATACTCATTGCAGAAAAGACTCTCCGCACAGTAGTGATAGCAACCGGTAAAATCAATACTAAAGTCAAGAGTTTGTAAACCAATGGATATACCTTATCTTTCTTTGTCACAAGTAACTTCTCTGCAAGATCACTAAGGTCATTCAACCCTTCAAACTCTTTATTAGAGCGCATGTCAAAAATATAAGTCTTAAGTTGATAATTAAGTACAATGACATCTATTGCAGAGAAATCTAATGGATAAAGTTCAGCAAGTCGAATCAAACTTTTCTTATCAAAAGAAGAAAATGAATCTTGTGGACATAAACAAGCTACACAAAGGAGTAACTTTGTATTTACCTTCGAAAAACGATCATTTAATTCTTGAAATTGTAAATCGATGACAGAGTAGAACAAATCTACCCGGTAATGATGTAAATTTGTAATTTTTGGAGAATTACGCTGAGGACGACCAAAGAGTGTGCACGGTGTATAAACATATCATCCTTGTCGAGTACATCAATGTAATGTTGTTGACAAAAAGAACATGCTTCTTCCAAAAAGGAGTCCCACCATTCGTTTCTCATTATTTGGGTCATCGTTTGCACAATCTCATCAATTGCATTGCATTCACAATATCTTGATCAATCATTTGTAATGCCTTTAATAGTTCATTTGACATCCCCAAGACACTTCTCATCAACTGTAGATTAAATTTAAAATCAAATGTTTGTACCGACTCTGATAAATTTGTTGCATTAGATCTTTGATCACTAGAACAAGATTCCACTTCAACAATCATTGCAAGTACATCTAAAACAGAAGAGAACATGGCAAGCAAGCTGACCAAAGAATTATAATGTGAACTCCATCGTGTTTCACTAGAGAGCTGAAGGGTCGTTTCTTGATTAAGTCTCCGTCTACTTAAAATTTCACCTTTTTCCAATGCCTCAACAATAAAGTCTAATTATTTTTCTCAAAGAAGATCACAACGTTTGGAAAATGCTCCAACATTATTTACCACGTCACCAACCACATGAAAAAAATTAGTAATAGTGATGTTCTTTTTTGCCACAACCACAAGCGCAAGTTGGAGTTTATGAGCAAAATCGTGAATACAAAAGTCACATGGACACTTTTTCAAAATGAGTGCTTTTAGATCATTAAACTTACCTTACATATTACTTGCTCCATCATAACCTTGTCCTCTCAATTTAGACATGCTTAAATTATATCTAGAAAATACCTTATCAATTGCAGTCTTAAGTGATAGAGCCGTAGTACTTGTAACATGTTCAATACCTATGAAGCGTTCATTGACATGTCCAATATTATCTGCATAACATAATACAATAGGCATCTGCTCCTTTATTGACACATCACGAGATTCATCAACTAGAATAGAAAATGGTGAATCGCCAATATCTTTGATAACAACATTGATCATTTCAACAACACAAGCACTTACTATATCCGTTTAAACATAAGGTGATGTCAATTTGCAATTTTGATGAGCATTTCCCAATGTGTCGACATTAATATCTTCATTATGAACAGCCAAAAATTACAATTGGACTAAAAAATTACCTGGATTGAGAGAATCCTCAGATTCATCATGACCCCAAAATGTGTGCCCTTGTTGCAATAGAATTCGAACATGATCAATGGATGCATTAAGACGGATAACATATACACTTCTTGCTTGTTTTGACTGTTTTTAGAAAGCTGATTGAATGTGTAGCACAGTAAATGCGAGCTTGATTATGAAGTCCAACATGAGTATGAAGCTTTTTTTATCTTTTCAATATGTAAAACCTTTGCCAACAAAAGACTCACCTCCACCTTGCTTTCCAGAACTTGTTCTAAAAAAATAACAATACAAACAATAAGCAGCATCATTTTCTACATTGTACTCCAACCAAGTACCGAACTCTTCAAACCAAGAAGGATTGAATCGTCCAGTTGTTACTCCAAATTGTCATTTTGGAAAGTTATGATCTTGGGGCTGACAATGACGCTTTAACATATATGCTCTTCGAACTTGATTTTGGATGTTAGCATTGTAATCTAAAATGAGTGTCCTTAGACCAGGATCAGTTGGAAGTTGTGCGATATCAAATTCCACATTATTCGATATCCCCTCATCAAAATTATCTACATTCATTTTTCTTTGAAAGTATATTTTCATTTGATATCTAGATTTAAACATTTGATATCCAATTACTACTGGGAGTGAGTGAGAGTAATTCATAATGAAAAAATGATCACAAATACTGGAAGCAACTAAAAGAATCCAGTGCAATTCATAATTTCACATAATTAATTCACAGTCCAATTCACAATTTCACATAATGAATTCACAATGCAATACCAATATATACTATCAATACAATGCAATTCACATTTCACAATTTCACATAATCACTTCACAGTCCAATACTCCAATTCACATTATCAATTCACCGTCCAATTTGCAATTTCACAATACAATTTATACTATTTTCAAATTTTAAGTAACTTGAACATACAATCGCAGATTCGCAGAGAGTCGAAGGGAAGTTGCAACTAGTCCACCGTCCGCTGGAAGCCTGGAAGTCTGTACCTCTTTGAGCAATTAAAGTCCAAAATGCTAATTTCATTTCATATGTTAAAGTCAAAAAAAAAATGTCATTACAATTTACACAAATCAAAATAACAATAAATAAGGGAAAAAATGCTGGTGGAAAATTGAAATTGGTGCTTCATCTTCTGGCTTCTTCTTTTGCTGGGCTAGCTGCCGCCGAATGTTGGAAGAATAGGCGGTTGGCGGTCTAAGGAGGCTAAAGAGCAGATGGCTGATTGATGTAGAGTCGAAGATTAGAGGGGCCTAGAAATTATAGATGCCAGATGCCAGCCTACTACCAACAATGGAGGTCAGACTGTTGGTGTGGAGATGTAGGTGAGAACGGCTGTCAGTGACTGGCACCAGCAAAGAGGGAAGTGGCTACTGGTGAAAAAAGCGAAGGGACGACCAGTCAGACAAACTCACGAAGGGTTTTGAAAATTGAAATGATTTCAAATGGATGAATTATGAGAATGGATGACGGGTCAATTGATTTTTTAGGGGAATGGGTCAGGGTCTGTAAATGGGTCGTGGGCAATTGGGCATTGGGCTTCTCTCTCTGGGCTAGACATACAGGGAAATGATATTAAAAAAAAAATTCGGGACTGTGGAGTTGGGCCCAAAAGTCTAGTGCGGGCATCTACCTGACTTAACTGGGCTCCGCCCCTGATTGTAGCGTATGACAATTTTTCCAAGGAAGAATAACATAATTCTCCATCCTTAAGAACTTCGCTAACATAATACACATGATATTATGTTCGCCCTTCATCTCTAGTTAGCATAGCTCTAATGGCGTGCCCTGAATCAGCCACGTATAATGACATGTTGTTACCCATCTTAGGTTTAGAAAGAACTAGTGGTTGGATTAGTTGTTTCTTAAGTTTCTCAAGAGCTTCTTGACATTTTGGGGTCCATTCAAATTTGTTTGCCCCTATGTAGTATGTCGAATGAAGGTTTGCATCTATTTGTAGATTTAGAAACAAAGCAACTGATGTGGCTATTCTTTCAATGAGACTTTGAACCTTTTTAGGTTAGTTAGGCACTTTCATCTCAATGATTGATCTTATTGTTTGGATTATATTTGATTCTACATTGGTTAACCATTTAGCCGAGAAATTTGCCAAAACCTGCTCCATACTTCCTAATGATCTCAATCATTTCTGATAAATATTATATGTGGTCTTTGGCAACTATGCTTTTAACCAACATGTCATCGACATAGACCTCCATTGTTTTTACCAATTTGTTTTGTGAACATGGTCTTAACGATGTTTTTGGTATGTCGCTCCAATGCTTTTAGAATCAAAATTCATCGTCTTATAACTATAAAGACCTCTGTTGGTGATTGAACACATTGTGCTCTTAACTAAGTTTGTACATTGACATCTGATTGCATCTTTAGTATGCATTCGTGAAGTTAAACAACTCAGCAGTGGCATCGATCATTTGATCTATTCTTGGGAGAGGAAAACTATCCTTCAGACAATATTTGCTAAGATCAATAAGTCTATACAGGGTCTCTATTCTCCATTATTTTCTTGACCAACACTGGATTGGCGATCTATTTTGGATAGATTGCCTCTCAAATGAACCCATTGCTAAGCAACTTCTCCTCTTCTTTACTTGAAGCTTCATACCTCTTTAGTTAAATGAAGCATCTTCTTGTTATTTTAGTCAAGCTGAAGAGTTGGTATTCACCCCCATGGCAAGCGACTTTTGGATTGATTTTTTCCATATCCTCAAGACTCGAGGCAAACACATCAAGGATTCATTAGAAGAACTCTACTAGCTAGGGTCGTAGTGGCTGTGGTAGTCACAACCAATTTTGAGTTCTTTATAAAGTCTATTCGAATTAACCTAAGTTTGTCTAGTTCTTGTACAAGCTCTACTCCTTTGTCATGGAATTTTATTCTAGGATCCAGTTAATTGAGAACGAGCTCCACCGCGTCTGATAAGGGCACTTCATGTAGGACAGAAGTCGTATGGATTTCCTACTTTGTTGGACAATGGACCATGTGGCACTTTTCAGCAACTTTTTTGTCGCTTTTAATCTTCTCTATCCCATAAGGAATTGAGAACTTGATGAGTAGTGATACATTGATACAATTGCTTTTAGGTCGAAGATGAGAGATTGTCCGTAATTGCCTTGCATGGTGAGGTGAAGTCCAACATTACAAACTCAATTGCAACCTTATTTTTGAGAAGATCTTTCGTCATATACAGTGTGTGATATTTCCCTTAGGCAACATCAGAGCTCCATTTAACTCGAAAATTAGCTTTTAATATCGTTCCGAGAAGTATATCGGAACACTGATATAGACAATATTGAGAGAGCTTTCCATGTTGACATAGGTTCTCTTCGACGAAGGATAAAGTGATTACTAAGACACCTGGATAATGGCATGGGTCAGTTTCCACCTCATGAAAGAACAAATGATCATCTTCAAGTCCCTTGTAATGCTTATCCATGATACATTTTTTTGTTCGATCAATCGGAATAGGTCGTTTTAATTATCTAACATGGTCGACCTATCTTTCTTGGACCATATTTAATCGTTCCCTAGGTAGGTTAATGTCGTATGATCTAGCTTCTCCTCGTACAATACCCACTTTACCTGGAGAAGGAATCTTCATACTGCAGTTGTAAATTGAAGTGGCAGCTTTTTGATTCGTACAATCAAGGTCTCCCCAGAATTGCATTGTAGTTTGTTGATAAATCAACCACTAGAAGGTCCGTAACAATCCTTCTCTAGAAGGGTATATCTCCCAATTCAACAATTAATGCGATCAGTCTGACCTCGTGCAGCATGGGGTTGCCCGTAACCTTTACAATCTTCTAGGATAAGGTTATAGAATTTTCCAGGATTCACATTCTTTTCAACGTTGGGAATATAGGATGCTGACAGAAATCTCATTATGTACAAGGTTTTGATATATGTTAATTTCGACCATGGGTATTGTTACAACCCATTTTATTTAGTCAAAAGTCAAAACTTGAATTTTCAAAGTCAAATAGGGACTTAAATGAAATAAATGATTTTATTGGGATTTGAATTGACTAAATTATTTTATTGGGGTTTATTTTATAAATTGAAAATATTTTGAGGGTTTAAGATGGAAAAATAATAATAATAATAATAATAATAATAATAATAATTTTGGGAAGCTATTTAAATATTATTAAAAGTTAAGGGATTAAATGTTATGTTTAATTGAAGTAGTGGGGCTTCCTTTGCAAATTGATTTAGTGGCCCATTTAAAACTCAATTGCCCATTTCTTTTACACACACATTCAATACATATAGAAAAAGGTGGGCAGAAAGAGATGGAAGAATCGAGGGAAAAAAAATAGGGAAAGGAAGAAGAGGAAGTAAGTATTGATTTATTCAAATACTATTTCATTTCTTAAGAGTAAGAAAGTATATGTTTGTTGTATTATGATGTTAAATATTCTAGGGTCCTAAGTCGTAGATTTAAATTTTAGATTGAAGGAAAGAGCATGATTTCAAGCCAATCTTTGTGAGTGGTGATTGATATTTACATTAAGGTAAGTAATATGATTTTTGAATGAACCCTAGAAATTTTTAGTAGGGATTTTTGATTAAGTATTGATAATGGAATAATTGAGGTGATGAAATATTCAAATGAAAGCATGATTTTATGAAACTAGATTAAAGTTAAGTTGGTTGTGGTGTTTGTGTCAGCTTTTACTAGATTGTATGGTAAAATTATTTTATGCTTGGAATGAAGTTTTTTTCGACAAATTGGTAATTAGTAGAGGGACTAGAAAGTGGGATTAACTTCAATTGATTAAAGAAAATTTGGGGAAGACTCAAGAGAAAATGTGAAAGTTGAGGAATTAAGTGGTGACTTTGCATTAGTTTAATTGTCAGGTAGTGACGTGGAAGTCAGAGATTACAATCAATTTAACCCGATTTTTATCCATAAAGCAGTGAGTGGATACAAACTTATGTTTTAGAAATTAGTTTTTATTAAATTTATATTATATTAGAAAAATTATTAATTCATACAGCTGATTTGACAACATGATTCTTAGAATAAATTGAATTTTATAATTTCTTTTAAAGTTAAATTCAATTCAGTTAAATCATTTGATTAGCAAGTTATATGAATATTAAATGTTTCAGCCTAATTAAAGTTATTTTTAAAACACCAGAAGTACCCAGGTGATTTTACCCTAGTCTGCACTTGTGTGAATGTGTTTCTACAGTGTATGACTCCATATAGTTATTTTACCCACTCTACACTGGTGTAAATGTGTTTCCACAATGTAGATCAGTTATGGTGATTTTATCCGCTATGCACTATATGTGAATGTGTTTCTATAGTGTATGACCAGATTATCAGAAGTCTTTGGGACATACTCTCGTACACACATAGGCATTGGGCCGTGTACTAGGATGATTAACCTTTGGGGCAGCTCTATGTACGTATGACCAAATTATCAGATTTGAATGGCTTTGCCTTGTACATCGAAATTACTCTGTACGTGAGTAAGGTTATTCATTGGGTACTTTTTTGGTGTTATTATTATTATTTTTTTTTAGTATTATATAGCCTATCAAATTATAGACTACAGAATTTAGTTTATTCAGTTTAAAGAATAAAGCTTTTCAGATTGATTTTTCAGCAATATACCGTCTATTAGATTTTAGAAACAGAATTTAGCTTATGCAGTTTATAGAATAAAGATTCGTATGATTCCAATATATTTTAGTTTTGATAGTATTATCAGATTTCAAATTATAGTATTTAGCTTATTCAGTTTAAAGAATAAAGATTTTAGTTTATAGTATTGTGAAAGAAAATTTTTACTAGATACCAGTTTTCAAAAAGTTATTATAAAGGGAAAAGTTCGCTTTTATAAAATATCCACTCATTGAATTATAAGCTCATATTTTGTCACCCTTCTTCTTAGCAGATAGTAGCTGTATTGAACCACATTGAAACCTGTCGATCTGCGAGTTAAGCCACACAATGTCATTTCTTGTATGTCTTATCTTATCAGTTAATACATCACATATTTTTGGGATTGATGCATCTTTTATCAGAAAATATATTTATATTACAGGCTCACTGCATATTTTTATATATTTTATGCAAATGGGGTTGTCTAGTTTGTAAAGGAGTGTAAATTTCTTTCCAATGCACTTATTTTGAATAGTTGGTGTTTTGAGGGACTGGCGTACCCTATTTTATATTATTGTGTGAAATTGAGGAAATTGATTATTTTTCAGGGGGTTTTAGTTTATATTTCGGAGGAAACTCTGTCAATTTTTTTTAAATACGTCACAGTCAAAACAGGTCAAGTTTGCTTTGGTGATAGGTCCGGCATTTAGTTGGTGTCTACCATCGGCGCACGACACGTATCGGATCCATTAGAGTGATTCGACGTGGATCGTGTCAATTGGTATCAGAACATGGTCATAAAGTTAATTGCATTACATTCATTTTGACTTTGTTTTCAACATGTCATACATATTTTATAGTTGGAAGTCGTGGCTCGTGTGGTAAGACTCACAGGCTCCAGGATGTATTGCCTTAACCACAAGTTACTTCTGATAGAGATGACATTAGAGAGGTTAGTAAGGTTAAGAAATCAGTTTATCAAACCTATGAGCAATAACATGGGGATGTAGCTCAAATAGTAGAGTGTTTAATGTTATGGATTGTCCCAATGATCGAAAATTATGTCTTGCTATGGGAATGTATGGAAACTACAATGATAGAAGAATATTTTTAGTAGATTTAGAAATGACTAGGAAGCAAGTAGTTGAAATATGGATTTCATGGATTGAGAATTTCATTCTCATTGAAGTAATATGATAAGGAATTCGGGGATGACATGCTATTGTATTGTAGAGACTAGAATTAAAGAGCGTTCATTTTGGGATATGAAGATAACTTTAGCTCAGGTTATTCCAACACAATTTTTTTAGATATTTGAAGATCTATGAGGATTTGGAACTAGAATGTGTTATCGGAACCATGGTATTCTAGTTATGGGAAATAAGTTTGGTGTTCAAGATGATATTAACTAACAAGGAACGAACAAATAAAATCTTGGTGTTATATTTTATTTCCTTATCTAAACAAAGAAAGAGACATAAAATAAGAAACAGAGAGGCTGTCACGTTCAAGTATCTTACTTTGTTTTTCAGCTTTCCCAATTAGATTATGCAAGTGAGATGTATTTGAAAAAAAGAAGAAGAAGAAGATAGTGTATGAGAGTGGAAAGAAAGAAACCAATTTGTTGAATGAAATGAAAAATTGGTGAGATTAGGAAATTAACATGTGGCATACTGAATTGTGAAAGGTTCACATGATAAATATGAAGATTACTATTTTATGATCTTAAGGAAAATTGATATAAATGTTTTAGGTTATAGGAGATGATGTTAAATGACAAAGTTACATGATCATGACATGATATGGTAAATAGCGTGTAAATGAATGTAATGGTTGTCCTATAGCAAAATAATGTGATGATATATTTTGGTTATTAAGTAAACTAATTTTGTTAAGGCCATTTGTTGATTATTATGTTATGTTACATACGATTTGAAAGTTTCAAGCTAATTGTGGAAGTTAAGGTGAATTGATGAATTTTTAGTATTATAAGATTTGAGTTATTTTTTATTGTATTTTTAGATCTCACGAATAAAGGTATTCCATGCTTATCGAGATCTATATGCTGTGGAATATATGGATGATACGTTGGATAGTCTAAAGTTTAAGATGATCATCATATGTAAATTTCTCCCTGGGGAATGATATACTTAGGTTACATATTTTCGTTAGAGATCTTTATGTGATATATAAAAAGGCTTATGCATTGATAATATGTCAATGACCTTTTTAAAGGAATAAGAGTAAAGAATTATCATGAATTAAATGTTATTATTATCTCTTCATTAAAAGGAAGAGCACCAAAATGGTGTGGCATTAGAAATCTAAAAAGTTTTGCTATCAAAAGTCAAAAGTTGAATTTTCAAAGTCAAAGTCAAATAAGTTTGTGTGTTAATATGGATGAGATGGCTAGGTGGGACATGCATAGGTTATTTTCCCTGGTATAGCCTTAAAGTCTCATAATTGACCTTGCCTAATTAAGGCCTCCACTTGCTTTTTCAAATCTCGACATTCATCAATATTGTAGCCTGCTGTTTTATGATATCGATGGTATATATTTTCGTCAGTTTCCATTGAGTTCTTCTTTAGAAGGAAGGCTACGAAAGACCTCCTTGCCCCTACTTGCATGAAAACTCCTTCCAGGGTTGTATTCAAGGTATTACTCTTAGAACCTCTCTAGATATGGGTGTGGTCGTTATGTCTCCTTTTTGTCTTTCTCCTTCAGGCATAGGTCTTTTGTCCATTCTTTAATCTTTTATTCGAGTAGCACGATGGAGTTCTACTTCCCTTCCTCGTGATCTAAGGTTGTTTCCTCTTCTCTCTGAGTTTCCCAGCCGACACACGAAATCATGATAGCTTGTATGCTATCTTCATGTACGAACCACTAGAACCTCATCCTGGGTCTAAATTCTAATCATACTGTCATCAGGGCTGCAACTTCTGAGATTTTCTCCACATCCATGGTTTGTTTCTTGAGCTGGTTGAGATAGCTCTTGAGTAATTCACTTCGTTCTTATTTTATACTCGCCAAGTGTTTTTGGGAGTGATTCTAGATTTGGAACCTATGAACTGTGCCAAGAATAGTGTAGACAAATCTGTCTACTTTTTTACCAACCCCTAGTAAATTTTCTAAACCACCTTTGACCTTTATCCCCCAATGTTAAAGGAAAAGCTCAATACGTTATAGCATCGTCGGTCTTCTACAATTCCATCCATGATGCGTACTTGTCAAGATGGCTGAAAGGGTATCCTTCACATCATATCCAATAAGCTGGGGCATTTTTAGCTTGTCTGGTTGGGGTTCAGCTAGAATGTTTAACACCCCAAAATTTCATAAATTTTGAAGTGTAACTAAAATATATACTTTTTTTTGTCTTAAAGGTGGAACAATAAAAATAAATATCTTTAGAAAAAAATTGTTGGAACATTCGTAAATCTAAATTAAATCATTGAAATTGTATCTTTAAAAAAAAATCAATTAAGTAGCATGTTTTTTTTTATCAAATTAAACTAACTAACAAATTGAAAGACAAAAAGCTTAATACTTTTTATTTTTCGAATCCTCTTGGCAGTGTGCGTCACCATCCTGTCACAGTTCCAATCGACTCGACCTAACCAGAAAATTATTATAAGGGTGAGTATTTAAAAATATCTAGTACGATACATGCAATTTTTCACAAACAATTATATAACAATAATTGAAATACCCATCATTAGTCATTTTCAACTCTTGAAAGATTTTGCATTTCTTTAGGGATGTAAACAAGTCGGGTCGAGAGCACGAGCTCGGCCCGATTAAAATGGCCGAGCTTTTTTGCGGGCTCGAGCCGGGCCGAGGAAAAAAAATAGGCTCGGCCTGAGCTTTTGCTCGGACTTTTTCAGGACCAAGTCGGGCAG